AACACTCCGTGAAGACAGAACTGCTAGGCCCTAGGACCCCCGGCCCGGCGTGCTGGTGCCCTGCACCCCTTCCCCTCGCGTTAGCTCCGCTCGCCCCGACTGCTCCCAGCCCCAGTGCTCCCAGCAGAGGCGTTGGGGGCAGGAGCCAGCCCCCCACCTTCCCCTAGCAAAACTGGCCTGTTAAAAGCCCCCCTCTGCCGGGGCTGGGGGAGAATACTGCAGGCTGACTGCTCGGTTGGCCCGGTTGTTAGGATACCGTCTCATGCCCAAAGCAAAAGTTTACGCTTGTCATTGTTAATGCAGCTGGGGAATAAACAGGGCTTTAGCCTCCTACTCCCCCACTAGTTGTAATTTAAGGGTGTTTTTATTTTTCACACTTTGGAATTAAACAAAACGCTCCTTGAGTGACTAGGGCCGACCGTCCGCTGCGGCAGGACCCAGAACGAGCGAGGCGCTGGGTCAAGGCTGCAGCTCGTTACCTTGAGAGCTTGGTAGTACAAGCTGCGATCTAGAGCGTGGGGCTGTTATAAAACATGTAGAAAACCTGTTTATTTCAAATACGACTATTGGATTTAACTTCCAACGTGTAGAAACTGGCAACCCCGCGCTAAGAGCCCCACTGCCCATTCAGACACATAAGGGAAGAGGGGGCAAGAACATATTTCAGTCTCGTGTAAACTGCATGGTTAGCCCGAGAACAGGGTGCTTGTTGAAAGTTCGCTCTGTGCTGACGTGCTAGGAAATCATCTCACCCACCGTCTTGTTAGCCGGAGAAAACCAAAACGAATTGAACAAACTACCCGACGCCAGCCTCTCAAAAAACTCAAACCAAGCAAAGATACCGAGAAACCCGCAGGATTATACTCAGGCAAGGAGTCCGGCGGACATTGGGCTGAGTAAAAACTGCAGGATCGGGCCCGGAGCTGGGAGAGGATTGACGCCTGAAAACAGGTCCTGTTTCCCGACGAGAAGTTCCCCAAACCAAAATGACAGCGCCCCGTCCAGCCATGCCAACGCTTCATTACCCAGGCTAGCACCGAACCTGCTTTCATGGCCCTGTTCCAACCTGCACAGCTCTGCGAGCAACTCCCCCCTCAAACACTGGCGTTCGCGGAGCAGGGCGTTGATCAATACAGACATAGGGGCGCAAAGCTTCAGTGCTTTATTCCCCCTCTTCTCCCCCCCCCAAAAAAGAAACCCCTCCCTGATTTATCCTGTCCTGTGAAAGATGTTCATGAGCTGCATCCATTGCAGATCAGGGAAGGGGGCTTACACTTTTCCTCCTTTA